GATGCCATCCCATTGGTAATCGACTTGCATACTCCGTCTTGACATCTTAAGAGGAAGGGGTAGAAGTAGAGGGTTGTTCGGACTTAGAAATAGAAAAAAAAACCTTACTTTACTGACTTTTGAGGAAAATATTTCATATCATTACAATTAATAGAACATTTCCATACCTCTGTTTACTGACTTATGGGGAAAATAATTTCATATCGTTATAATTAATAGAACATTTCCATACCTCTGTTGAAAGTGTCGGATGTATTTAATCAGCCAGTACCTTTATATCCCCCTGCCCACTTTCTGCCGAGGTGACTGTAGCTGATGGTGTGCTCGAATGAGATGTACTGGGTTTACTCGTGGCCTATGAAATAGAAAAATACACCGGTATAGCATTTGTTTTTAGAATATGAGATGAAAAACCCTCTATCTAGACTAGAATTCATGTACAGTCAAAGTTGAAAAGAAAAGCAATAGATTTACCTTTTCTTTATGATATTCACATGAACACTGTACAACATTACCGAATAGATCTTTCTTGACAACAGATTTATGACGAGGACAGTTGTCTATGGCTGTTAATTCTTTGGCCCAGCGCGAACCAGTTGATGGTCTTTGACCACGCCCAAACAAAAAAGTTCCCGAGGCATAATCGCTGAGGCGTTTGATCCATTCAGAGGTAGGAAGACCTGTCTTCGTTGGTATAAAACTGTTCTCTGTTGGTTCTACATGTAGGAATTGCTTCGTGATACAAACAATTATCACACTAATCCTTGGAAAACTTATAATATCAAAATGAAAACGAAAGTTTTCCATTGTCAGTCACAGTCGAGTGAAAACAAGTGATGTAAACACGGCAAACTATAGGTAAATTTGAATCCAGTTCAGAAGTTCTGCCGGCAACCTGCGCAAGGATGACACGCAAATTCGTGAAGCGTTCCATATTTTTCGAATCTTGATACGAGATCCTTTTTACAAACCCTTATCCTAACGCCTGGTATATAATGCTATTTCTTTTTTAATTTCGGTGTTTCTTTGTGAGCAGCTTTAAGGCAGTTCTCTGAATAACAGCACGGTTATACATAGGTATAATTTAGGTAAACAATAATACAACGCCATAACAATCGCCGCTTAAAACAATTCAATGCATTGTTCTTGCTGTTTGATGCCAGTATTGTAGGTTGAAGTGCCGAAGAAGGTTTCCGAAGCCAATGAATTGCCAAACAACTCAATTACGTCATAATTAGCAATACAATTGACATATATATGCTTCCACAATGCAACGATTATTGCACTTATAACCCTTCCAACCGCATCAAAACTATTTGTTGCTATTATAGGCAGATGGATATACACTTATCATTAAAACTTGTCCTATTATCGTCAATTAGAACTTGAAATTTTAAAGTGTAAATGATGTTTCAACATCAAATCCCCCCTACCTTCTCTTGTGATTTTCGCATAGTTGTTTTTCCTTTGGTTGTTTGATGTCGGCAACTTTTACAGATATAACTACTTTGCCTTGTTCTATTTCTATTTAGTTCAGTGCGCAGGCGCAATTTACCATTTTCTATCACATGGGTTTGTTTATACGTCACAATTACGATGATAAAGAGAGTAACTACCAGGGAGCTTTGATGTGTGGTAAGTCTATGGTACTTAATGGAATTACGGACCTCTTTCCGATTGTATTATTTACGTAATACATATACTAAAATTGCAACGATACAGAGAAGATTAGCATGGCCCCTGCGCAAGGATGACACGCAAATTCGTGAAGCGTTCCATATTTTTCGAATCTTGATACGAGATCCTTTTTACAAACCCTTATCCTAACGCCCTGTATATGATGCTATTTCTGTTTTAATTTCGATATTTCTTTGGGAGCAGCTTTAAGGCAGTTCTCTGAATGACAGCACGGTTATACATAGGCCTAATTTAGGTAAACAATAATACAACGTCATAACAATCGCCGCTTAAAACAATTCAATGCATTGTTCTTGCTTTTTGATGCCAGTATTGTAGGTTGAAGTGCCGAAGAAGGTTTCCGAAGCCAATCAATTGCCAAACAACTCAATTACGTCATAATTAGCAATACAATTGACATAATATATGCTAACACAATGCGACGATAATTGCACTTATAACCATTCCAACTGCATCAAAACTATTTGTTGCTATTATAGACAGATGGATATACACTTATCATTAAAACTTGTCCTATTATCGTCAATTAAAACTTGAAATTGGCCCTCTTTTCCAAATGACGCTATGAAGCACGCGTTTCACTTCGG